CTCGATGGCCACAATTTTGCGATAACATTCATCCGCGGCGTATTTAAGTTTCTCATGTGGAGAAAGCAAGCAACTCTAACTTTACTTGCTGTTTTCAAACACGGACACTCCTCGTGATAAAAACTAACCTGATTCAGTTCTCGAAAATCACTGATAAATCGTGATGAAACCAATTGCTGTTTTCCTGGCAACAGATGATTCGCTTTTTATTAAAATGTTCTCTGCGGGCCATATGACCAGAGGTGGAGATAAAAGTATTTAATCTGGACTGCAGTTATTGTTTCTTTTAGAAAGCGTAATGATTTTCGCGGAAACATGACTAAAGAGCATGTTGCACGGTAGAATTTACTTTGCTGATTAAGTTCAAAGAAATGAAACCGCTGTGATTAACTACTCCTACGAACAAATAACGCTGCGAATGACATCGTTTTGATCTATTAAACATACATTTGGTTCCAACCATGGGGTAGTTACGAACTTTCGATAGGCGAAAAACGTTCGATGTAACTTGCAAATCTGCAGAATAGCATCAGTGAAAACAGGAATCCACAATTATTAAACATATAATAAGGAAAAAACGGTGAAATAGTTTTTTTCTGTCTCTTTTGTTTCTTTAACCAATGTTCTATGCCATTTCGCAAGTTGGGTCAAGTAAGAGAATAAATTTATCCTTCAATTAATACAGGACCAACTCCTTTGCATGCTACATGAACATGCCTGAAATACTAAATAAGTCTTCAGATGTTTCAGTCACTAATGTATGTCTTTAATCGCCAAATAACTTGTTTCTTAATCGGAAATATTTTATTTAAAATTTGTCTAAAGGAAGCTGTATTTATAGTTAGTTCTTTTCCGTGTTTTACAACAGTTTCAAAGATCGGAGAAGGCATTGTTGTTGCAATATCTAATATCAAATACTCTTTAAGTTCATGTATGATGAAAAAGGGTGTACACATCAATTATTCAAAAAAAAAGTTAATGACAATTCTAGGAAAAAACTGACATTCAGGAAGTAAATAAGAATTCTAAAAAACAAAAATTTCACGCAGTTCAATTTTACGCAGGTGAACGTAGGTTAATTATCATACAAGTATAAAATTCAAAAGAGGTCTTTAGTCTTTGACGGTTAGCATTTCGACATACCCAATGCTGCCTTTCATGAGGGTAAGGGTGGCATTTAGGTTTGACATTTACGAGATATAGTTCTGAAAATGGCATTTTAGAATTTGATATTCATCTTTACCAGAAACTGCTAAAAGTACGCACATTCTCATATTGTTTAATTGGATAAACGGTCAATGTAGCGGAACAGCGCGAGAATCACTTTAAGCCGCAAGGTGGACAAGCGTTGTGCAATTCAACTCTTTCAATTCATTGTCCGTTTAAAACAGTAATTGATCAAGATAAATATCCCAGAAATGAAATTGTGATTTAGTCCTGCAGATATAGATACAAGACCAATCACCGAACATCTTGGGTTGCGGCCATTTTCATAGTGACACGGCCAATTGTATACAACATTCATAAAAGATAGAAACACAGTGATTCTCAGCTGTTACAGTAAAGCACAGAAACACATGTATGTAGGTCATTAAACTCCTCAAAGTAAACACATTTTCTATTCAGGTTGCTCTGTCAAATAACTCTAAACGCAATGTAAGTAAATTGCATGTAATATGTTATAATGTAACCCGGGATTTCGCAGTTACAATGTATATACAATTTACTGGCGTATATAAAGAATTAAGATACAACAATATCTACATAAATGCCATTGGAAGCAACTGAAGTTCATGTAACCTTCTGAGAACAGCTCCTCTTTATTTTCAATTAAGCACCCTAACACTAGTAACAGCTTTTATTACAGGTACATCATGATGTATACCCGTCATCAAAATATAACACGATAAATACGTCTGTGTTACATATAATTCCTTCCTCATTTGAATAGGTTCAACATGTAGGGCGACGTTTTCTCATCCAGACGATCGAGTTAGGTGCCTTTTTGGCATTTCATCCTGGAAAATTACAATCCGAGAAAGAGACAAGCCTAGATTGTCAAGAGAGCGTGATGGTGAATTCACGAAGGGCACAGCATAATCAGGATGTACATGTGTACGGCTGATTGTCTAGGCCATACTGAGTTCCTTTTACGTTTACAGGGCATATTGTATGCAAAAATAATGTGGAAGGAGTATAGAAATGACTATACACTATACTGGGCAATGTGGTTGTATATGTTAACATCGTTATACATGCACATGTAATCATTTTGAGGCCATCACTGCTCAAAGAATAAAATTGACACAGCAATTGAGAGCAAAAGCAGCTCTGGCAGCAGTTCTGGCAGCACACTTAAACATACATTGTACATTTGCTGATGGATAATTATGCTCAAATATAAATCAAGTCAAATATACTAGACGCTTGATCCACTCCCCGACAGTAATAAGGTGTGACAACATAAGTTGACAAAAACTAGACATGGTTCTTATTTTCATTTCGTGTAAGTACTTTAAGCCCATTCCAGTAATGTAATAAGGTATGAAAACATTAGTTGACAAAAACCAGACACGGTTCTTATTTTCATTTCGCGTAAGTAGTTTAATAAGCCTTCTCCAGATACTGCACTGTAGATGCCAGATAAACACTGCGCTGGGTTCCAGTTGTCCTAAACTTTAAAACCAACTACTGGGTACAGCTAGGCCTACTAGTACTCTTCGTTTCGTGCCCCACCATCCACCGTAGAGAAACAAGATTAGAATACTTTCAGTTGGAACGGAACTCGGGGTACAGCGTATAGAATGAGAAAACAAATAATATTTAGTCAATCCTAAAGTGATCATTTCCTGGAAGCTCAAACATAAACGATGTTCGATATTCACCTCTTGAATTACGTTCTCGTGAAACCCATCGCCCCGTGCAAATTTCGTCTTTTACAAAGATCGATTCCCTTGTTAGACGCTCAGCTCTGAAAACCTTGGCAGCATTCTGGCAGGACCTTCCATCGAACTTTTACATTTCATGTCTTACATTTGGCCCCGTTCTTATCTCGTGTTCAATCATATCCGACCCCGTAAAACTATATTAAGAAACTACTAGAACTAAACGTGAAACGATTATCTCTTGGGCTTTGTCCATTTCCATGTAGAGTCAATCGCTGACACTACATGCCTTTCGTCTTACCAACCTTCGACAACTCTATTATTAGCTAATTAGTTTTAAATCCAGCGTGGTTTGAGAAATAAATGATTACACTGATCATATTATAAAACCTATAGGTCTTACATACTAGTAGATTGGCGGACGCACAGTATTTGAGTCAACATACTTTATCATTTTAAAGCTCAGAGTGATTTGAAAACGTTCCTTCATGGCAGTACTAGGAAAGTACTATCCAACAGAGAGATATAACGGGTATTATCTAATTAGCACCAAGCGCAGCGTGGTTTGAGAATGTCAATAGTTTAATTATCTTCCAAAGTCAGNCTTTTGAGGTAATTCCAGGACAACCTATTTATAAGGCTGATGTAAATTAATTTGGTATCTCTGTCTGGATAAAGTGAACCACAATGATAATTCAACTTACTCACTATGTCAGAAAAAAATCGCATAAACGAAGGCGCAATGTGCCATCTTTGGTAGCCGTTGACCATGTCAGTGTTTATCTGTTGTCACTCGATACTGTCGGCTTCAACGTTTGCCTTTGATAAACGTTTGTTTGCTAGATAAAAAGAATACGATATGAATATAATATATTGCTTATTAATGTGAGGCCTGTGTCATGACAGGCGGTGATTAAATAATGTGTGTTATTTCTCCTCTCATATGTTTAGAGAATGAAGGTGATTTTATTTACTGTTTTAATCTAAAGGTAAGGTCATTATATAATTCAACTGGAAAAGCACTCTGAGAGTGCAGACCTCCGCCAAGGAAGCGATTTTTTTATTATTATTGATTATTGATTGATTATTGATCCGGATCACCAGGAAAAACTAATCATCTCTTCCTTGGTCCACTTCTGACAGTTCCTGAAAATTTAATCAAAATCGGTTCATAACTTATTGAGTTATGTTGATGACAGACAAACTGACAAACAGAGGTGAAAACATAACCTCCTTGGCGGAGGTAATAACAAAATGTAAATTTGATGTTTTTTTGCTCAGCCCCAATCAGTAATGTGCCAGAATGCAATAATGGGAATGTTAAGGTGGCTCTATTATTCAATAGCTCAGCTCAGATCATTGTTTTATCTTTTTCACTAATGTAAACTATTCCATTGTCTTTATGCACTGATTGTAGAATTTTCACTTTGTCGTCTAGAACACACCACGGAGACCAATGTAGCTACAACGTATGGTAAGCTTGAGAGGAAAACGCTTTCTCCGTCTCTCTCTCTCTCCCTCTCTCTCTCTCTCTCTCTCTCTCAACAATAACGTTGTATTTCGAAGTACAAATATTTATTGAGAAATGTACGTTTTCTTTTACTTTAAGTGTACATAAAAAATGTTGAACGTTTAGTCAACTACTAAGTAATTTTTTGACGTAAGTTACAACGCACGTTATTTTTACATTGAAATCGAAATATTTACATTTCATGTTTAGCAATGCCGGAGACAACTCCATACGGTAAGCTTCCCTATTGTACGTGACCCCGTGAGTTATGATGTTATTACTTTTACAAATGCTGCCTGGCAGTTGCTATTAATAAAGTACAGTGGGCTGGCTTCAAGTTGTTATAATTGAAAATGTATAAATTTATAGTTTGAAGTGCATAAGATTTATCCAAGTTTTTTGTAAGTACATTCTTATGTGCATGGCTTGAGTTTTGTCTGAAGTTTCTGTGCACGCCTCAAAAAGCCATTCTACTGTGACTGTACATTTGTTTTAATATATTTATTGTAAACTGGAAGAATGGCATTATGTTGTGACATTGCGGGGCTTCTACGTCAAATAAACATGTACCATTCCAGACCCTTGTTCCCAAAACCCCTGCCAGTATGGCGGTACATGTATACGTACCAATAGTTACTATTGGCCATACACTGGCTACAGATGTAACTGTCCTTACTACCGTACTGGGCAAAAGTGCGAGTTCGGCGCTTACGGATATCGTAAGTTAAACTTTTTTGATCAAGTAACGATTTTTTATTGCGTATGCATATTTTAAGTGCGAAACATCCTTCATTTTATTTTTACTCTCTTTTAAGTCATCTAAGGAAAGACATGCCGATAATATTTGTAAAATCACTGCAAAAGTAGGAAGTATTTCATTTGTGACGCCTGTCAATGCACTTGTAAGGTTAACCAATACGTTGAAAATAAAACAAAATTTATATATTTGAATGCCGAGCATAGTATTTCCTAAGAAGTGGCATTTGATAAATAACCGCAGCCCAGTACGATGCAACAAAAGTTAACTAAGCATTTTAATGTCTTATTTTATGCTCTACACAAGAAACCACGTCGGAAAAGGAAATCACAACTGGTATGAGCGGAAAACCATTCAGTAAAGTTCTGTACAAATGTTCATGTAATGCTTTGTCATATATTTTAGAATCCTCAGTATCTATCAAATTATGACAATCAAACACTTTGTTTAACGTTAAGTCAACTTCATGTTTAATGTGTAATAAGGCACAGTGTACATTTTAAACATTAAAATTGAAGTATATCCATTCCATGTTCAGCAACAGCGGAGGCAACTACATACGGTAAGCTTTCCATTTGTACGTTCCCTCGTTTGTTTTATGGTATCAATGTTACTTTTGCATAGACTTCGCCACTTCGCTACTAGTAGAATCTAACAATTTGACTTTTGTCTGTCTTAGTATTAGTTATCCGTTGTTAACCTGAAGATTAGCATAATATTGTATCACAGCCATATCTAAAACGTCATATAAACATGTACCATTCTAGACCCTTGTTCCCAAAACCCCTGCCAGTATGGTGGTACATGTATACGTACCAGCCATTACTACTGGCCATACACTGGCTACAGATGTAACTGTCCTTACTACCGCACTGGGCAAAAGTGCGAGTACGGCGCCTACGGATACCGTGAGTTGACTTTTTCTATCACATTATAAGTTATTTTTCAATGTATGTGCATATGTAGAACCAAAATATCCAACAACTTACTTTTAACTCTAGTTAATGCATTGGATATGATTTGTAAAACTTATATAAAATTACTATTTTTGTCACGTGATAAAGCACCTGTTGGGCTAGTCAACAAGTTGATGATTGAACAAAATATATAGTTGAACAACTTGTATAGCATTTTTCAAGAAGCAGCACTTGGTTAATAATTGTAATCTAAAACGATCCGACAAATATTTACTAAGTATTTTATGTATTTTCATCTTTTACAGGAGAAACCACGGCGGCAAACGGAATCACAACTGGTATGTGAGGGAAATCATACAGTGAAACTCTAAAATATGTTCATATTATGAAGTGTTATATGTAACGGTATGAGTCCTCCATATATAAGGATAAATTGTTTAACATTAAGTCAACTACTGTGTATTTTGCATTCAGTCACATTACAGACTTTTAAACATTTAAGAAATATTCCCATTTCATGTTCAGAAATGCCGGAAGGAACTACATACGGTAAGCCTTAATTGTGTACGTTCCCTCGTTTGTTTTGTTGCCTGTATTTTTACTGTGTGGAAGTTACTTAAGGACGCTCTCTCATATTTCCGATTTCATATTTCTGCCCTAGCGATTTTGATTCTAATTGTAAGACAAAATCTTCTCACCATATGAGTAAAAAATATGAAAAAATTGGAGGTACTCCAGCTTGCTTTCGAGAGGTGGCGTCCCGAAAAACGCTACGTTTATTACATTGCGTTATATGGGGATTTTGCCAAAATGCCCTTAATTTTGCTGAAAAATGCAAAAAAAAAAAAAAAAAGAAAAAAAGGAAAAAATCTGCCCTAGCGATTTTAATTTTATATGGATATGTTATAGATCTTGGTAGACCTCAAAGAAATTTACAAAACAAAAATAAATAAATAAATAAATAAATAAATAAATAAATAAAAAATATGTACCACATCCAGCTTCTTTTTGAGCCAGGGCTGCTTGAACATCAAATTTTTTTTTTATTTTACATAGGAATCAATGGAAAATTCAAGCAAATTTAAATAAATAAGTTTGTATCATGGGTTTTTTTAACTCATACACTTATTTTGCTTCCATAACAATTATATTTATACTTCTCTGCACCAGGTAACCAAATTTAATCAAATTTGCTTATCCCATTCATAATAAATTGATATTCAAATGTTGAAAGTATCAGTTGAATTTCAGTATGCCTCATGGAATACCGCCATATTGGATTTTTTATAGGCTGGACCTACAAGCACATGTATCAATCTCATGTGACTTTTACCTTCCTATTCTTTTTTTTTTTTTCTTACTGATATAAATATTTTTTTAACATTAAAATGGCTGGATAGATTATTTGCTTTGTATATTTTGATATACCCTGTACATTGTTTAAACAGTGTATCAATTTCTTACTACTGGTAAGATACATGTAGCCATATTTATTCACAAACGTGCTTAGAAATCTAGGTGGCAAAAAATTAGAATATTCATCTAAAGACATCTTTTGGTTATCAGTTTATTTCGATTTGATATTATATTTACAACATGAAATCAAATAAATATCAATAATAAATATACGTACTTATTTATTTATTTATTTTTGACCTAAACACTAAGAAATTATTTTTATAAACGTGGCATTATAAATAATTTGCTCAAGGTTGAACACAGGATTTAGTTAATTGGCTGGGATGAAATAAAAAAAATGAAATAACAGGGATCTTCCTGTGTGCCGTGAATTATTTAGTGATAATTCATTATATTTCAATATCTTAATATGGTTAAAACACTGAAAAAAGGCCTGGTACTACTACTCTGATCGCGCGAATTATGAGATCAAAGGATTTTCTGCTCTTTATTATTGGATACATTAACTAAATTTCGTGACTCGATCTAGACACTCCTCTAATACATTATGGGCAGAATAATTTCTCTTAAGATATTTATACCTGTTGCATCTTTCCTGGAGAGTTAAAAATCGCACTGTTTGCAGGTTATATTGTTCAATAACATAATTGAATTAACAACAAAACGCCATAAGTATAATTATTTTAACTAATTGTGAAAGAAAAGAGAATTGTTTTCAGCATACAAATCACGGTAACTTGGCCCAGGGTGATCGGAAACCAATGCTGAAGAAGACAATGTCTTGATGCACACATCGTAAACATGTGACAAATCACCACAATACACTTTGTGGTCAAAATGCAAGCCCTTGTGAATATTTTCCGTGAGATAAGATCTTGCCACTGTTACACAAGCATTATTAAAATGCTCTTTTCCATCCCTTCTTCGCGTAATTTCTTAAATTGGGGCATTTGTAAACAAAGTCGTAAGTGGGTACTTACCGTCGTAAAAGATCAAGCGTTCACTGATACGCAACGCATTGCTGACATATTCGTAGCGCTTCGACCAAAAAAACATCAAGTATTTCATACAGATTTCTTAAAAAGATGTATTACGTATTTTACTGCATGTTTTGTTTTCATAATTAGCCGCTATCTCCACAAACTAATTATGCTAGAAACCTGCGCCGATCGCAAAAATAGCTAATATGAGAGAGCTACCTTAAATAGAATCTTAAGTGTAGGCCGGGTAAATATATATAATTACAGTCTTTTATGTATAGAAAATACACACGTTTTTGCAAATACATTCTTATATGATAACATGTGTCTCAATTCTCCGTGCATTTTATTGTATTGTTCTTACAGTTTTAGTTTAAGATATTTATTGAAAACCCAAACGATAAGATAATATAGTATTATTGCAATATCTTACACTTCATTTAAACATGCACCATTCCAGTAAATCCTGAACTGTTTAATATGTGTCTGTTAAAATATAAACATAATAAAGCGAAATGACAATGGCTCAAACTTAATTCAAACATGACCAATTCCAGACCCCTGTTCCCAAAACCCCTGCCAATATGGCGGTACATGTATACGAACCAACAGTTACTATTGGCCGTACACTGGCTACAGATGTAACTGTCCTTACTACCGCACTGGGCAGAAGTGCGAGTACAGCGCTTACGGTAACTGAGAGTTGATTTTTCTATCAAATAACTGGCCATCAGTTACTGTTAAGTCATCTTCAGCAGTGACCAATCGTCCTTTTTAACGTTAACTCCAAGGGAACCTTAAGGGTAATATTTATAGAATTGATAATAAAGGTGTGTACCTTTTTCATCATATGATCAAACACCTGTCTCGCAAATCAACAAGTCAAATATAAAATATATTTAGTCAGGCATAGCAGTATTTGGTAAATAGCTAGATTAAATATTTAAAAAAAAATTCAAAACTAGGTATGTATGCATACTCTCATATAGATTCATTATTAACATTATTTCATTATTTCATATTCTACAGGGGAAACCACTGCGGCAGACGCAATCCCAACAACAGGTATTTTTTATCGTTCAGTCAAATTTGAAATATAATATTATGTAATATGTGGTTTTGCGTTAAACAAGAGTTCATCGATGAAATATCTATCTCAATATGGTTTTAGCAGCAGCATTTTGTGTCACATATCACCACATGTATTATTGAAAATTTAAATATTTCCATTTTATGTTTAGTGGCGCCGGAAGCAACTACATACGGTAAGCCTTCCTATTGCACGTTCGTTCGTTTTATAACACTATTTCTGCCGCCATATGTATGTAGTAGTTTGCACAATAGCATAAAGTTAATCATATTCTAGAGAAAGATGAAAAAACAAAGGAGTAAACATAGTGTCTAAAATTATCAATGAATGCATTGATGATTGTGTTCCACTGTGCCTGTAGTTATAAAGTGTAAGTTATTCATTGCAAACCTGAAAATTGCCATTGTATTTTGTAAGTGTTATATATATATATATGTCTGATGCTCCCGTTGATGCTTGGATTCGGTAATTTGAAGCACCGAAAAACTAGTGCTTGAGAAGATTTTATGGCCAAATTTTACTGTGAATATTTTTCAATCCCTCCTTTGTTTTTAAGATCCCTGCTATAACAATCCGTGTCAGAATGGTGGAACGTGTCACCCGAAGACAATCCCTTACTGGCCGTACCAATTCAAAAAATACATCTGCCAGTGCGACTCTAACCACTATGGACAAGAATGCCAGCACAATGCACGTAAGTTGGATCTGTGCAGTGAGATACTAGTTATAAATATTGAAATGTATATCTTGATATTCATTGTCTTCTTCAGTGTTTTCAAGTTATTAACCTGACTATAAACGAAAAAAAAAAGGTGCGAGTGAGGAGCCTCTAGTGATATATATATATATATATATATATATATATATATATATATATATATATATATATATATATATATATATAAAGTGTTTTTCCTGTACGAGTATATATATATATATAATAAAAAAGAAAAAAAGAACAGAAGTTATTTTGCCCCGACCGGTTTCATAATGGCCCTTTTAAAATGATTTTTATAAACTTGTTATCCAGTTTATAAGCAGCTTTTTTGTGTAGTTTACTAACACCATTGATTGTTTCCAGATAGATAAATTTGGAGCAAAGCAACTGATGACACATCTCTGTCCTCAGTTTCCGATAACAAATATTGCAACACAATACAACATAATACGACACAATACTATTACGAATGCATCAAACAACCCATAAAGATCTTTTACTTAACTGAGGCACGTGTAATTGTCAAGGCAGATTGTGTTTCTTTGTGTATCTATGACACGGCAACGTGCTATTGCTCTGCGTATTATCAGCGTATATACTCACTACAGTTTACTTTATTCTTAAAGTAGGTTGTCAAAATGGAGGATATATTGATGAGACTTACTATAACGGTAGATGTAGCTGTCCAGTCGGCACATGGGGCTATCTTTGCCAATATGAAAGCGGTGAGTTTTATTTGTTTAATGTGAATGTATGGGCAGTTGATTTACCTTGATCCCATGTGTCACAAAATTATAACACTTGTCTTTGTGCAGTTCACATTAAAAGTGTTTTTACTGCCTAGATTTTGCCCCGAGATATATACGTACATATGAGAGTACCAATGCCGTGTTTGTGTGCAGGGGTGATCAGTTTACGGGAAACAAAATAAAATAAAACTAATCAATTCACAGGTCACAAAACTTTAAATCACTTTGAATATCAAGTATCAAATTTTATGTTAAAACATCTGAAATCAGAGGAGCAAGGCAATGTCACCTAAAGGCAATATTGTGCATTGAAAAAATTAGATCACAGAGACAACATCTTGGGTAGCTGCCACAAATCCAGATGGCGTTATCTTATCCTCAAGTTACCGACTTAACCAATTTCTGGAGCTTGTTAGTTCAGATTGACCCACCTTAGACAAGATCGTCTGCCTCATCCCATCCCTTGCAGGCGGCTGGGCCTCTCTCCCTCTTATGGCACGGTTTGGAGTATCCCAGCATTGCTCAGTAGGATTCAATGCAGGCAACCAAGTATTATTTCTCAATTTCCTTATCCCTGAAAAAAATGCTCAGTGAGCAAGTTGACATGAACCAAATTGCAGTTTTATGCACGTAACAAAAGAAATTACAAACAAAATGAGTTCTAGCGAAAGAATGGAACTGTTTCTGTCGTCAGAACTTGCATGCAAAAGTCAGCATCTCCGAGGAACACGTACCAGATCAAGCTTCATAAGATGTAAAGAACTGCCATCTTGAGCAAAATTTAACACTTTAGGGTCTTCGGCTAATCTCTTCTGCCATGAAACGTGAGGTCTGGGCACAGCGCCACAAAGAAAAAACCTTGCTTTATCAGAAAACCTTACATGCCTTTAAGGACGCATTTCACGGCAATAGGATCGGCAGTCCATTTCCTACCAGCAATTCTTACCTTACGGGGTGAAACAATTTTCCTGTGAGTACACCTTGGCCCAACCCACGAATCAGGTGGTGTCTGCTGGTGTATTTTCTTCAGAAAACTGGGGTTCCGTGTGCTTTCGCCACTTTTCCGCGGAGAAGGTGCACTTCCCTTTTTCACGACTTGCATAGTATACAGTCCTACCTGGCTGTAGTTTTACAAGAGTTACCTTTGCTGTGCTTTGTGTGACACCGTTAGGTGAGTTACTGGCGGATCCTTGAACCAATCCAAGGTGAAATCAATGTTCTTTTTTTGCGCTAGGCAACCTATAACCCAACAACTTACCAAGTTCTTATTTGGCTTTTACAACGTGTATAGTCACTCTTCCTTCAAGCGTAATTTTTTACAGGTACGTGAAACTAAACATATATGTTCCTGCGTTAGGGGCCTAAACGTACATTTGTCCTTACATTTTTCCTTGGACTTGTCACACAGGCATAGCCATCTGAACATTGTCCAATGAATTGATTACATAACCATAGCTTGCAAATCGATTATTTGTGATTGACCAACCCAGGTATATCTAATGTTTTGCCAAAATTGTCACTGTGAAAATTAAAAATAAAAAACAACAAATACATGAGGATTTTAAAAAGTATTCCATCATTTTGAGCAAGAATGTACATCATTTTATTTCATGCTAGTGAATGAATTTGTTATGGTTATGAAGTCTATTCTATTCTATTCTATTATATTCTATTACACCCGCCATTTCAGATCAGTTTACAGGGAAAAAGATCCGTTTAGTAGGTTTGATGATTAGAAACATAGGCCGAGTGGAGGTTTATCATGATGGCCAGTGGGGGACAGTTTGTGGCGATGGCTTTGGCAACACTGAAGCAGAGGTTGTATGCCGTTTGCTGGGATACAGGTGTGGTTTTCATTAAAGTTATATTGGTAATAATGTGTCATTGCGTGGCTTTAATAACAGCTCTAAATGAGAGAACATTTCATGATAAATGCTCTCTCCACGCTGTTGCAGAAAGTGCGCCATTTTTTTAATGTCCATCCAGTGGCTGAATGCAATACTACAACATAAATAATTTAGTTGTCTTAACGATGGATTTTATAGTCGACGTTTACCCCCGAATTTAAAATGAGTTAGCGGTTCCCATCAAACACGACACGTTCAGATTAAGTTGCTAGCACATTTCTACCACATAATAACATCATAGCGACGAATTATCCACGCGGTATCAAAGTGACGTGTTTGCTGGGATTAACCATTCAGAAAACAAAATTTCGATACATTGTAGGGAACCCTCCCTAACCTCTTCCTTAACCTATGAATGACTGTAAAAACTGCTAAATGTATCTTGTTGTAGCCCGTACAATGCCAGAGTATTCAAATCTGATTGGTCTGACCATCATACTTATGGCCGAATATGGCTGGATGATTTGCGCTGTAGAGGCAAGGAGTCCAGTATATTCGACTGCTCTCACAGAGGTCTGGGTGTACACGACTGTTACCACCGTCAAGATGCCGGGGTGGCATGTCACAATGACACAGGGCTCTCGGCCACCGCCATTCCTGGTGGGTAAATGTTTGAACACTTTTTAACGAATTTTAAAGATATCCGATAGGCGAGAAATTCTGATCAAAAACTTCTAGTCAAAGCAATAATACGCTTAAAATATGACTATACAAATGTTTGTGCGTGTATAGTTTAGTTTAAATTACTACTTGAGACTAAACAGTTTTGCTGCTTTCTAATATAACTATTTTATTTTATGGGTGCCTTTACATATATGTATGACAGCCCTGTGACTGAACATCACAGTTACAGAGTAACAGGTAAAATCTGCCCTATTTTAGTATTAAAACATGTTATCCAATTCCAGACCCCTGTTCCCCAAGCCCCTGCCAAAATGGTGGCACCTGTGTACGTGCCAGCATTTTACTTTCTTCGTACTCTGAATACAAATGTGTATGTCCTCTCCAACGATTTGGGGAAAACTGCGAGCAGAGATATAGTAAGTATTCCAATCGCACTTTTCTATACCATGTTACATATAAAGTTATTACTATTGCCCCGCCCACAAAAATGCCTACACATTTATTATTACTTAAAAGACAAAGCTGCATCCCTTACTTTAGATACAAAGCTGTATTCTAGAGAAGATTTCATGTGAATTACATCTGAATTAACAGTTTGTTCAAAGTGTTATATGTACGCGTTAACAACAATATGGTTCATGTAGAGTATGCTCTAGAGAAGATCTAAACACTTTTAGTTTCAAACCCATGTGCCTCGAGCCCTTATGTTTCATACGCGGTATGTTTTACAGAAGATTTAAACATGTTTAGTTCCCGAGCCATGTGACTCAAATCCTTGCCAATATGGTTCATGTGTGAGTACCAGCAGTACTGGCTACAGATGTGACTGTCCTTTCGACCGCACAGGGGAGAAGTGCGAGAACAGAATTTTGGGAAACAGTGAGTGGAAAACTATTGGTCAAATTACGATTTGTTAACAAGTATGTATGCATATTTAAAGACCAAAATGTGCTTCAAATTGATATTAATTCCATGTGGTAAAGGCAAATATAAGTGACATATTTGTTAAAACGCTAAAGGTATAAATATTTATCATTTCATCGCATCAGCAAGTTGGTCATTAAACAAAAATATGTACTGGTATATTTTTGAACAGCAAGTGACATACGATTTAAAATAATTCCATCATAATTTAGTTATTGTGCAAAAATGTTTATCAATAACTCCCTGCTTTGTGTCATAAGTAACAACACGCATCTTTACGCAAGGAAATTGGAATATGTGTTGTCGTGATCTTACCGTAACCGTTGAAAAGTAGAAAAGCATATTTGGAATGCATATATTGCATTTAGCTAAAGGAGAAAAATGAAGAGATATTTAAAGGAGAAAAATGAAGAGATATTTATGAAAACCAGTGAAAACTTCTGAAAACTGATAATAATATATATATATATATATATATATATATATATATATATATATATATATATATATATATATATATATATATATATACTGGGTAGGTCGTGTCTTTAAACTGATCGCGAAGGAGGGGAGAGCTAACATATATCTGTTGCCATGTGACACGTGAACACCTCTCACTACACACAATACTCTGACCTACATTAAGCACTTGTTGCAGTTATTATATATATATATATATATATATATATATATATATATATATATATATATATATATAATAACTGCAACAAGTGCTTAATATATATATATATATATATATATATATGTGTGTGTGTGTGTGTGTGTGTGTGTGTGTGTGTGTGTGTGCGTCACAGATTGCTTTTATTGATAAAAACACTCAACCGTGTAACACTGAGAATAAAATCAGAGTACAAGTGACTCCAAACTTGTAGTCCAGCAGTGGTGCTTAAAATAACTCACAATTGAAGACAAGTTGACACCGACGGAGTACCGCCTCCCAGATCCCACAGGAGGGTGACAATTGACTCCATTCACACATCCCTTCATCCCTTGATATATCTCTACAAAAGACTCACCATGACCCCGTATTAAGGAACTTTTGACTCCTTAGCACATTATGAAAAAGCACAACAACAACAGTGCCAAGCGGAGAGACAACAGGTACCGTTTATTAAACACCAGCATGTCCCCGGTTGGGCTGGAACCCACGTCCTCCCTCTCCGGAGGCCGACACTCTAACCACAAGGCCATCCGGGGGCATTTTATGTAGTATCAGCAATAACAAATAGTTTGTAAATCTAGTAATATACAGCATGGCACATATATACCACAAATATGCAAATGAGTGAGCATACCTCTCCAGTGACATGCATTGGCGGGGCAAACCTACAACCTGGAAACAAAACCTGCTGACCTGTATACCAATATACCACATTAAGGGTGTGGCAACCGAAGCCCGGGCCAGTAATAATTGCATGAATTCTGAACGCGGAAACACACATAAAACCACTTGTTCATGCATAAAACCAACTATGGCCAATATAGTATTGTTTATACCGACAGAGGATGATGAAAACTGTTCTGTCCACGTCGTCTGCTCACAACAATCATAAGTACTGAAACGAGTCTTACTGTCCAGCGAGCGAAAACAATCGGTGAAAGGGATAAGCCAGGAACTGGCCCCCGGTAATTTGACTATGATTTTAGAGCTGGCTTGACTCCATCACAGCTAGGGGGTGATTGACTCTGATGAGAGAGTCTAACGACTAGTAGTGGGGTAATTTGACCCTTATATAGAATCAAATTAACACCATGAGGGTTAAGGGGTGCTGGACTCTGACTAGAGAGTCAAATGACTCCAATTTTACTCTTAGTGAATAGAAGTATTTTATTGCACCTGTAATAAATATCAAGATATTTGTATGACCATTTTGGTCAGTCACCAGGTAGAATGAGGGAATGTCTTAAAGTCAGCTAGACACTTAACTTAAATAAAATAACAACTAAAATAAATACACCCATTTTATAATATAACTGAATAAATCATGCATCATGGCAATGGCAGTTGTACTTGAATAGTTGGCTCACCTGTAGGAAATAAAGATGAAGATATTTGAACCACCGTTTTGGTCTGTGAAAATATCCTATCAGATAAGATGATAAGTACCCGCCAAAGATAAAGTCACGTTAAGGAAAACTAGATGTGATTTTATACCTCGTCACATTACCCCCGCCTCTAAATAAACGGTATTCTGACTATTTACTTTAAATTAAGAGTTTATCAAACAATAGGACCATTTTACTCAACAAAAAGAAGTGACACCCCATATACCATGGAAGGAATGTCAAAACAGTCCACAGTGACCAAATCAACAATTACATTGGATAAATATACAAATGACAACACGCATATTAAAATCACTACATGATGTTTTTATTAATAATTATTTAAACTTCCTGAGCAACACATCATTTACATACACCAATCTAAAAATATTCACGTATTATACAAACACAATCGTTTTTTTTTTTCGTTTAATTTTACTAGCTGCTAGATATTATCAACTTCAGCTGGACTGTGTTGATCATTTAATCCAAAAACACTGTGTAAACTGTAGACGTAAGCATCTGTCATCCATGCAGGTATCTTTTTAATGCCTTTTGACTCTCTACAATTTTCTCTATTTTTTAACCATTAACCATTTAACCATTAACCATGTTAGGCACGGTTTCACGAATAAGAAGTACTATGTCTAACAATCTACAGCTGTGAGGTGATCATTTGTAAATAAAAGTACATTGAAATAGGGGTGGGACAACCTTTTTGACCAATGTTGTATTACACAGTGCAGCAGTGCAACCGAAATGGAAGTTAGTTCATTGGTAGCGAAACACATGACTAAATATTTCTCCATTCACATATCTGAGAGAGAGAATTTGATCTAATCACTTTGCAAGAGTGGCTCTACCCATGGGAAGCTGATATAGAAACAAAAGAAAATGAAAAGTCTGTCAACGTTCAATGATATACGTTGCACAAAATAAAATAAATTGACCGTTACAATCAGAATCTTTCTTTTTGATCTGTTTGCGGCCCTGATGAGGCCTCTGGCCGAAACGGCTTTAGAGCTCTATATCAATTACCTCTCTCTCTCTCTCTCTATCTCTCTCTCTCTCTCTCTCTCTCTACATTCCACAGGGTTAGGGCTGTACATATATGCATGAGTAAATATTTAATTCCAGGAAAGGAGTATTTATTACATGTATCTCCGAGAAATGATATAAGGTGATGAGATAATAAGATGATACAAGTGGAAAAAATAGAGATAGGAATTGTTAAACAATATTCTTTTCTTGTATTTTTTTTTCTAGACTCTTGCTCTTCGAACCCATGTTATAATGGAGGCAAGTGTTATGTATACGAAAACGACTACTTCTGCAAATGTCCTTTGGGTAGATATGGGAAGAGGTGCAAATCTAATGGTATGTCACGTTTCAAAAATCCTATCCAATCACATATAATGTATACCGTGATTAGTTTCAATATTTAGTAAGAAGTGTAGATACAATGAAATTTAATAAGTGTAGATGCAATCTATCTTATAATAATTTATACTACGTAGTGTTTACATTTTTTCGTGCTAAATTTAAAAGAAACGAGCACTATATTCAGCAAATGCCTATGGGTGTGGTTATGATAAGGATTGCATGAGAATAATGGAAAACGTTCTTATTGCTATAGAATTCCCAGTTCGTTTAGTTGGAGGCCGCAGCAACAGAGAAGGGCGCGTGGAAATTGAACTTAATGGCCGCTGGGGGACTGTGTGTGACGACGGATTTGACGATAATGCCGCTAGGGTCATATGTAGATCACTTGGATTTGGGTAATATCAATGATAGGTCAATTCATAGCTTGCCATGATATACAGATTTGGGGGAGTGTCTAGGGTCCTGAATCCCCTTCGGTTTCTGAAAAAAATCACAGCAATGGTGACTAGCTGAGTAATAGTTCCGTATCAAATGGCACTGACCACCCTCTAAAATACTTATTTTTTCAGGGCTCTTCAGAGGGCCCTGAACCACACGCAAAAGGGGGTTATGGGAAAGGGGAGGGTTCGCATCTGCGGTCTATCATTCCTAAAAACTGACCCCCCCCCTCCTAAATAATTCTGGATCCGCCCCTAATATACGGTCGCATTTCAGGTTTTGTCATATATTTCCACATGTTTTGTCAAGTTATGATAATAGTTTTAACTATATCTTATATTTTAATTTTAAATTAATTTTATATATATATATATATATATATATATATATATATATATATATATATATATATATTAACACTTAAAAGTGTACACTGCCTTTCGTTATAAGCTTCGATCACAACCGCCGAACGGACTAATACCTGTTTGCGTCCAATTTTTGTGCAGAATCTCACGTGCCAAGCCCTTCTTGTCAAATTCCGAGTTCGTAGACAGCTCGTATGCATGTACGGGGATATTGTAAGGTACCGTCGAAAGAAAAAACAACGATGTAAAATGCACGTTGCATGCAATGAAGAAGCAAGTTCCCTTTGCGTGTTGACTACGGAGCACGCCCTCACAACTTACAAAAAGAATGGAAAGCACGTGCGTCACCCTTACGCAAGAAATATTAAAGGCGTGCTAATGGCACACGCTCGCGTTTCAGCAATGATCGCCGATTGTGCAACGTGTACAACAATTTTCAAAAAATTCGAATTTCGGTCAATTCAGCTTCCAATATGGCTAAGAGGATAAGAGAAAGAAGATTAAAGAACAGAAAAGAATGGAAAAGGAAGAAGAAAAAAGTAGATAACAGGAGGCAAAACTGACAAATGTCGTCATTACGTCATAACGAGCGTATGAAGCTAGCGTGGAACAAAAGTGGTGCAAAAGTGAACTTCTTTCGCCGTGCGTTGCATTCTCGTCGTGAGTGGTGAGTGTGTGCCACGTACGCAGGTAGCAAGACAAACTTAAGAAATGTGTACAATTTTCTTTTGGAATTAGCGTCCCTGTTGAAAGGACACCTGAAGCCAACTTGCATCTATCCATTGCATTATTTCCTCTGCCAATACGGACTCACTGTACCCAAATTTCGTCGAGGACGTACTGTACGTTCCTAAAATCCGTGCATTCGGTTGTCACCGAGCCTTTTCTAAAACTCGGTTGTGACTGAGGCTTAAAAAAGTAAACGTGCCCGTATTACCTTATGACAAAAAAGAAAAACAGACGTTGTATTGTAGTTACAGACATAGTTTGCCAGTATGTGACCGAAAAGAGCACGTTATGCTACATTTCTTTGAATTTTAGTGACCGTTATGCAAAAGCGCACCAGTCTGCCTGCTATGGGCAGGGCATAGGGTGGATTTTTCTAGATGATGTCAAATGCACTGGAGATGAAAATTCATTATCAGCATGTAGCCACAGAATTCATGGTTCCCACGACTGTGGACACTCTGAAGATGCCGGGGTGTCTTGTGGGTACTCCTATACTCGAAGATGCCCAGGGGATTCTCAAAACGGTTAGTGTTCTAAATTTATTAACTCTAAACGTGGAACAGTACTGTATCTCTTGCCCACAGTTAAAGGTACATACGAACCGAGCATCGGTGGAGCGTGGATTCCCAGTAACACATGTAAATCACTTCTACTAGTTTCTTATACGACTCAAATAAATTAGACATGCCAAGGGATAAACTGAATAGATCACTCGATCAGCCATAAAGGAGCTTTAGACTTTTCCTTTCTTTAAATTTCTGGTCAGAAATTTAACCTACTTTCGTGACCTACTTTTCTGCCCCATTGACATACAGCATAGAATGCTAGCAGAAAAATCCGTTCAAACATCATTTTCGGGTAAAATTAAACAATGCCTTTTGGTAATCCTCTTAGTTATACTACTTGAAACTGTATGCTGGCATTTGGTCGTTTTTTGTGACAAAAAAAAAATTGACTTTGTATGCATCTTTAATGTTTGGTGGCTGATTCCAGGAGTAATGAACGAAAGCTTACCGTTTCCTAGTTTGATCACAAACGACTGTATGCGGACACTACAAAGTTGCTTTGATGTAGTGTGTATTCCTATTTCCAGAGATGATCTACTATTTAGCGGCATGTCCGTTAGAAACTGTGGTCGCCCCCCCCTCCCCCCTTGCCCTCCCCTTATGACATCCGTCCCATATACTAATAATTCGACTTGTTTCAATTTAGAATAGAATCATTGTCCAGTTGCTGGCTGGTGTCTTTACCAGAGTTGTGCCATACCATATCCAGCCAGGCTACATATATAAAGCATTGTTCATATATATTATCTTATGTCATAAACACTCTTTTTCACGTTTTGATTGAAATCTTTCACATTTGTCTCGGCATAGATAGTTCCTTGCTGTGATCACTGGCCTCCTAACAGCAATCTTGCCAAATTAACGTCTTCTGACTGTGAACTTGTTCCTTGTTAAATGATGCAGGGGAATCCCTAAATGTCATGACATGCGTATTAACAGTCTCTTTTCTCAGGGTGTGGTTTCCTGTGATTGGCCTGACCCAGGCAGGCTTGCCCACGTGTCCACGTTTGAATTTGATTTAGTTAAATCCTCTGAATAGTTCTTATGGAGAAACACAATCTTCTAGTAATCCGGCGGGTCAAACATCCCTCTTATTTCAACCATACTGATTCACTTAGGACAGAGACATTAAAATATAATTCGCATTGAAATATTTCGATGGTCACGCTAGGTAGATAATTGGTTTATTACTCACATTCCCATTTTACACGGCTACCGGTTGCGTATTTTTAATGCAATGGTAAAATTATTTTATGGGTTCCCTTGTAGCAGTATACATAAATGCAATAGGTGTAGCGCATTTTTTTTATTTTGCTAAGGAAACATCTTCGCATGCCATTGTTGATGTTGTGCTCCATTCTTCTGTTTTTTTAGCCACGATCGAAGTACCCGGTAATACCTCCTCAAGCTATGGTACGTACGAAGTAGGTTTGTTTGTCTATATCGAAAGAAATTATATGCATATTTAAGGATGTAAAAAATAAGAGGACTTTGATCCCTTCAGGACCTGTGCTTTTAAGAAAGTGCATGTATCCAATAAAGCACCGATTGCTTATTTGTTTATTAAAATATTTATTTATTCAAAAACACTTTATATGACAAGTTACCTTTTAAAAAGACGTACATGTATTGCATGTATGTATTATATATTCATTTATTTATTTATACAGATCCTTGCTTTTCCTACCCATGTCTCAATGGAGGTAAATGTGTCACACACAGATCTTATGACTGGCCCTATGTGGACTACAACTGCAAATGTCCCGAGCCTAGATATGAAGGGAAGAGATGTGAATATAAAAACCCGCCAGGTACAAGAGTTAATCATTACCAATCGATTGACCAAGTCTGGTTTCCTACAGATTTAGATCGACCCATCTGGTACGACCTAACTCCATGGGAGCTCACGCTAAATTGTCAGTCGATCGCACAGGGAAGTAAATTACCCCCTTACAGTAAGGTAGAGTAAAATATAACCTTTTTTCTTTTTGGAAATCTCTCAAGGAACAGATGACTTTAGAGGGGAAATGGACCAAAAAAGTTCATTCCTGATGAGGAAGTGGAGCTAGGAGCATTCTTTAGGTCGGATATTTTACTACTTTTGGAAATGCATACAAAGCATATGCACTGCATATGCATTAACTGCTGTAATTATATGTATGTATACAGTTGTACCGAAAAGTGTTACGTGAACTACACATTTTGATAAGTGAGTGTTTTCAATGGCAGAAAATAATGCTAAACACATATGTGCAACTATTTTTGTTCTCACAACAGCCATTTAGGTTGTTAAATGACAAATTTCAAAATTGCGGACAAAATGCCCTAACAAGAGTTTCAACATTGACAATTAATGGACCCTTTGTTTTGATTATGCATTTTCTTATGTTTTTAAGATTGTAAGATATTTATTCATATGTTTTCACTGCCATTGTTACATTTTAAATGGAGGTTGGTTACCTTGTTGGTTGATAGTTTACAGTCAAGCTTGACAGAAGAGCCAGATCTCAGTCAGTCAAAACGAGGAGTGATAAGATATCTCAAGTTCTACTGGATGTGAATTATGAGGAAGCATCAGAGTTATCCTGACCTCAAGCAACCAAAGGGTGAATGTCTTTAAATTATAAAAAAGAAATGGATGGAATTTTTTGTTCTTCGCATAAGAAGCCGGAGAGGCAATCACTATCATGTACTGAGACCAACAGAGAAGTTTCCTGTGAAATATCCAGTGTCTGGATGCCCAAGAATATCTTTCCTCTTGAGAACATTAACAACAGAACAACTGTACATTGATGCTATATATATAAAGCATTGTTCTTATACATGATCATGATCATAAACACTCTTTGTCACGTTTTGATTGAAATCTTTCACGTTTGTATATCATCACTTTTAATCCTTGCACTTCACAGGCAGTTAATGCTTCATATGTTCCCCAAATATATCATAATCCAACATTCTTCTTTTGGGAATGTACTTCTCAAAGATTGGAAAAATACTTTATGGAGATTCAGGCATTGGTGATTTCCTTGGCAACTGCTTTGCTGGCTTCAGCTTATGATATGGATGTCTTTCGGCTTCATACACGTAAAACAAAAGTGTATCATCCATCCTATTGTAATAATATAGAAAAAAAAACAAGTTATGGTAAGGATAATTGATTCTTCATTATAATCCCCATCAAACAGATGTTGGGAAATCTCCTCATTTTGATTAATCGAGATGACTGAGGTTGTTCATTTTCCCCATTATCGAAGATTCTGGCTCTTCACTCTAGCTTGACAGTTAACTGTCAGCTGACATATTGGTAACTGTACTCACTGTAAAATATATCAATTTCAGTATAAACATAAAAAATGGGTTCTACAGCCCCATAAACATAAGAAAAGACATATGAAACATTATAATACCTTTATTTGTTGTTGATGAAACTTTGGGTAGGCCATTTTGGCTGCCATTTGTAATTTTACCGACCTTAATGATTGTTTTAGAACGAAAATCATTGTCAGATTTGTGTTTAGCATCATATTTTGCCTCAGGAAACACCTCTTATTGATATTTTTTAGATTTACCCCACCCTACTAACAGCTTTTAGTAGGCGGGACAGACATTTAAGCCTGCTAATCTGACAGCAAACTAGTGAGACTCCCCACGGGGATAGATCGATCTAAAATATGTAGGAATGCAGTCCAAGTCACATTGGTTATATGGGAGAGCTTATCTAGTCAGGAATCAGTTTTTATGTAAAGTCACTTTCAAATCAGAATATTTCTTGTAAATGGTCTTTATTGAGCACACGGTTGTGTCAATTACCGGATCTTAATAGTCTCCACATGTTTAAATATCACAGGAAACATCTAGACACGCACCATCAAGGCACTATAATGCCACTGAAAGCACGGACCGATGGAACGTATAGCGACCGCAGTAAGGGGTGGTCATGTGTATCTGTTTTGCTTTTTCCTATATTTCTGGTTTCTATTTGATCTGGTTTCTATTTTTTTTATTTATTTCTTATCAGATCCTTGCACTTCAAACCCATGTTATTATGGCAGCACATGTGTCCCACAAAGAGCTTCTTACAGGCCTTATGACTATGTGGACTACAACTGTACCTGTCCCTGGGATAGATACGGGAAGAGATGTGAATATTATGGTGAGTATTATTACTGGCCTTATAACTATGTGGACTACAACTGTACATGTCCCTGGGATAGATAAGGGAAGAGATGTGAATATTATGGTGAGTATTATTACTGGCCTTATAACTATGGACTACAACTGCACATGTCCCTGGGATAGATACGGAAAGAGGTGTGAACAGTGTGGTGAGTAAATGACATGGCGTTTATGTGCGCATAGAGAGCACAGTATAATTATTTTATTCTAATTAAAACATTTAAAATCTATCAGTAAAAATGCGTTATTAAAAAAAAAAAAAAAAACTCTGGTCTCATATAAGATACCTGAATGGAGACGTGTGATGTCAAGTGTGTCACTATTTATTAAGTGACTACCATGTCTGTTGTTCATATATTCCATATTTATCTCTATAAAAAACTTAATATGACCGTTTTTTGTTTGTTTGTTTTTAGGTCGGCAAGCTACTGAAAATCCTCCCAATGAGATGACTACTTCATACGGTAAGGCTTTCGTTTGGACATGTAATGGTTTTACAATATTCTTAAATCCGCTTTTATATAAATATCACCATTTTCATATACTAAAGAAAAATGAATGATACAAACCTAGAGTATTTCAAATTGACCTCTGCATTCAAAAACACTCCTTTATTTCTTAAATAAAAAATGAAATCTTAACTTTTTACCGTCTGAAATTTCCAAGATCCCATTCCAGACCCCTGTTCCCGTAACCCCTGCCAGTATGGCGGTACATGTATACGTACCAATAGTTACTATTGGCCATACACTGGCTACAGATGTAACTGTCCTTACTACCGTACTGGGCAAAAGTGCGAGTACGGCGCCTACGGATACCGTGAGTTGATTTTTTCTATCAAATAATGGCGCACCAGTTTTGTTATACTGTCTTCTAACAGTGACATGCCATCTATATCTTTGAATTTTAATTACTCTGATGACAACATAAAGATAGTATTATAAGTATGTATCATTCCATCATATTCTTAAATATCAAATTGGCAAATCAACAAGTCAAAGATAAAAGAGCATGTATATATTTTCCATCACTAGTAGTATTTCATTAGCAAGCAATATTTGGTAAATAAATAAACTAACAATTAAAATCTTAACAAGGTATCGTATTCATTGTTTCATATTATTATTATTATTATTATTATTATTATTATTATTATTATTATTAATATTATTTTACAGAAGAAACTACAGCCACAGAAGGAATTACAACAACAGGTACATGTATTGGGAATCATTCAGTCAAGCTGATCCAGTCAAGTTAATAAATTGTAAATACAAATTTGAATGATATAGGATTTTGTGAGTTAAACTTGTTTCTTTTTCGATTGGTTAAAGTTTATCGTATTATGATTTAAGCCGGATATTCACCAAAGTCCATCGTTTTGGGTCATAAATAATGTACGTAATATTTAACCATGGATTTATTTATTCCATTTTTGTTCAGCGCCTGAATCTACTACATACGGTAAGTCATCCTGTTACATATGTCTCCCTTTTAGTTTAATATATATTTTTATTTTTCTGAAGTTATTACTGTTGCCATGGCTACGTTGTTCTTTTGACAAGCGTATAAACTTAAATATCTGCATTTTTAAAAATACAAATATTTACTTGTTCTGAAGAAGAGTGATTTATAATGCTGCCCCGTGATGTCCGTATTTAAAGTATAAGTTATTCATTGCAAACCTGAAGATTACCATTACACTGTGTTAGTGTAATGGTAGATACTAAAAGTATATGTGTATAGGGTTCATTCCAGAACCTGTCCCCAAACTCTTGATGTCTTGACGCCATAGCTTGTTATGAGATTCATAATTACACATATAAATCTCCATCAGAATTCATTTAAAACGCTTCCATTCCAGAACCCTGTTCCCGTAACCCCTGCCAGTATGGTGGTACATGTATACGTACCAACAGTTACTATTGGCCGTACACTGGCTACAGATGTAACTGTCCTTACTACCGTACTGGGCAAAAGTGCGAGTACAGCGCTAATGGACACCGTAAGTATGGCACGCTGGCCACGGTGCATCACTCTTTACTAGTATGTGTCCCTTCATTTACCACAAAAAAGGAAGGAAAAACGATTAATTACGTTAGCACATATTCTTTTTACAGTGCATCTAAGTTCCCTAGTTGAACAAGTTTAACACATCTTTATTCGCAAACCATTTCTGTAAGTTTAGGCACAGCACCCTAGACCTGCTTACGACGAAATCATGCTACAAGTAATTATATGTATGTTGACTTCAGGAAATAATGAAAAGGGATTTGCTGATAGCAAACAGTAGTTATGCAAATTCTCATATTTGCAATTTGTTACTTTATACATATAATGTTTTTCAGAAACAACAGAAATCCCCAGTGTGACGACAGAAGAAAATGTCAGTGAGTAAATCAACTGTTGTTTCCTTTTGTCTCACTGGTTAGGTTTTTATTTTGATCATTAAATGTTACGTTTCCTGTATGATTGTGAGCATTGTATTTAATTTTAAAAGAACAGTTTATAACACATTGTATTTTTGTACTATTCCTTAAAAAATAATAATAATATTTATTTATAGGCTAAAATTCATATAAAATGTTTACTAGACTTTACATGGGTAAAATGAACAGAATAAAGTCAATAAATGAATACATATGTAGTCAATATTAGATAGTTAATAGTCGATACTAAAATGTGTAGTACAATGTAAGTAAATATATGGACAGTTAAATGTTAAGAAAACAAAAAAGACAGTACAATGTAAAAGCAGCAAATTAAATCTGTTATATTTTTTTAATTGTCCTCAGACTCTATAGCTTTTAAGTATATTGGAGATTGTTCCATTTATTTGGTCCAAAGACTTGAAGAGCTAGGTCGACGTATGTTCTCAATCTGGCATTACATGGCATGAGCAAAACCTGGTCAAGTCATCTTATGCTTTGTTTTGGAGCATAATGCTGCACTAGTTTTTGTAGATACCCCCGATGATTAATAAAAAATAGCGTGCATAAATGTTAAGATTGTGAATAAAATGCGTGCTCATATCTTACAGGAGTGCGTTTAGTTTAGCATACACTTATTAAGACTCTGGTTATGGCAAAGATTGTATTAAAATGGTTTAATAGAAATTATTCTCATTGCAGCTTTCCCAGTTCGTTTAGTTGGAGGCAACAGCAACAGAGAAGGACGTGTGGAGGTGTACCACAATGGCCGCTGGGGCACTGTGTGTGACGACCACTTTGACGATAGGGATGCTACAGTTATATGCCGCATGTTGGGATTTGGGTATATATATATATATATATATATATATATATATATATATATATATATATATATATTAGCAATATTTATTATATTCACATGTGAAGGCAGCGCAGATTCCTTGTAAAGTATATACAGGGTAGACCACTGCTACTAGTTTATTGTGCCACTCGTATTAAGCCCAATGGGCAAAGGTCATTGTAAATTGATCACTCACTCATCAGTGGTTATCATCTAATATTAAGTAGTTAAGATTTCATTACTGAACAATACAAACATTTGCACGACCGACAAAAATGACAGAATTAAGAGTGAACATGCGTTATTACATTTCTTTACGTATAAAATGTGATTACTATGGTATATGTTATAGTGACCAGAATGTAGAAGGATTCGAAGGCGCGTGCTTTGGTGCTGGCAGCGGACAGATATGGTTGGATGACCTAGATTGTAGAGGAACAGAAACATATATTTCCCAGTGTTACCATTTAGGCTGGGGACAACACAACTGTGGACATGGAGAAGACGTCAGTGTATCATGTGGATCTCCATATCAGAGGAGTTGTGGTAAAGTCCCACACTGTAAGTTTATTTCACCGACTTTGGTAGCTTATTGATGGGTTTGTCGAAGATATTCTGTATACATTACACACACAGGGTGTTTATAATCCCCACCCCAGTTAGCACGTGAGAGATGCTGCTGTATTTTAACACGCAACGTTTGACAATTGTTATCTCGCTTGATTCTACGTATAACACTAATTGCCAAGCGTTGCCCAGGGTAAATAATGACTAGTGACTGTGATGCAACAAAATAAATAAACACATACATAAATTAATATAAAAAATAAGAAAAGAAAAATAAGATAAATGTACATAATTATCCAGAAATATTATTCTGGTTATTTTTGCTGATTCTACATAATGAAAATTTGTTGTAACAGTACAAATTCGCCGTGTTGTGCCCCCCCCCCCCTATAAACTATCAAAATAAATATCATTTATTTATTTTTTAAAGATCTAAATACAACATCCGAACCACCGATGACTACCACAAGCTATGGTATGTATACCGTTGTTCAAGTATAGATAACAATATAATTAGAGGTTGTATTATGGATCATTCTTTTAGAGACAATACTGCAGGATACAGTGATGATGCTGTTGGGTTATTCAACATTTCAACTGACTTTAGTGAATGTATTATTATTATTATTATTATTATTATTATTATTATTATTATTGTTGTTGTTGTTGGATTTTCAAGAATGGGGCATTTATTTTTTCCACCAAAATGAAATAAGATGATCAAGTGATCAGAAGACTGACGAAACAATATTCCTAGTAATAGCAAATTTATTAAACTGCATTATATCCCTGCATTTTTTTTTCAAGACCCTTGCTCTTCCTACCCTTGTTATTATGGAGGCACGTGTGTCCCTCAAAGATCTTATTACTGGCCTTATAACTATGTAGACTACAACTGTACGTGTCCCTGGGCTAGATACGGGAAGAGATGTGAATATTATGGTATGTCACGTTTCAAAACCCACAGCATATTACATCATATTTATTTATGATTAATGCTTAATTCATATGAGGAAGTGCATTTTGTAAGTTGTTACCGTGTTATCTAACATCAGTGTCGATATTAACGCATGTAAAGAAAAATAGTCCCTGAAAAACAGCATATTCGAAAATATACTTTTATGCTGATTCAATCCAATGTTTGTCAAATGATATATATCATTTTTTCAACTCCAGGGTGGCCAACTACCGAAAGCCCCACAAATGAATCGGTAAAACCAAGTATGTACGGGTTTATTATATACTTTTATTATTGGGCGTATTTTATCAATGATATATAGGCACTATATTTAGCGAAGTACATCTACTGAAACTGATCATGGTAACACAGATCACCTTTAGTTAGGTGGTATACATGTAAATAAATCAAATTTTATTTCGATAATTTACAGTCATTTTTAGCTGATATTGTGTATAAAATCGTGGTTTATTTGCTCCATTTTAAAAAATAATAACCACCACTACCCCTCTCTCTCCCTATCTTTCTTTCTTTGCAATAAATGTCCAGGGCATCATCCTCGCGTCCTATAATAAGCAGAGTTCTCTGTATCATGGTTATTTCTTGATTCGACTTTTGAGTAGTCCACCGGGTTTGTTATCATTTTCTTCTACATTGTTAGCAGAAATCAAGAAAGCACATAGTTTATTTGCAGGTTTTTTTGCGGTATTATATGGTAAGAAATCCATCCCCAAACCTTTTTTTTTTTTTTTTTTTTTTTGTAAAATAATAAAATGTGTAATATTTACAGTTTGCAAGGCCCAGGCAGACATAATTTTTATCTTGGACGGATCTGGTAGCGTCAACGCACCCGACTTTGCCAAACAACTACAATTCATCAAGTCTTTGGTGAGGAAATTCGACGTTGGACCAAACGCGGTACAGGTCGGCGTTATGCAGTACTCAGACTACGCGGTGCAAGAGCTCAACCTTAACACTCACAGCACCGAGGCCGCCATCCTAGCCGCCGTGGACAGGATCAGGCAGATGGGAGACGGTACTAACACAGCCCTAGCTCTCTCCACCGCCCGCACCAGCAGTTTCACGGCTGCCAGAGGCGATCGGCCAAACGTACCGAACCTCGTTATCATCATGACCGACGGTAGGTCTAATGACATGGCGGCGACCGCCAGAGAAGCAAACAAGCTGCGTTATATTGCGTCTGTGTTCGCAATTGGTGTTGGGAGTAATGTTAATACTGCCGAGCTGAAGGCCATGGCTACCGACCCGGATAGCAAATTCGTGTTTACTGTAACAGACTTCAGTGCCCTGTCAAATATAGAGACACAGTTAGCCACGGATGCTTGTGCACGTGAGTAGCTTTTTTATAGATAAGCACGAAAATTGACCTTTTAACCCATATTTAAAGGGATAACTCTTCGTATTGGCCAAAAAAAAAATGAATTTTCCTGGAGTAAACAACAATTTAATGTACTTATCAATGGTTAATGAATCCATTTTTACATTCAAAGTTAGTCCCTGTTTTCTTTTTTCTTTTTTTTTCTTTTTTTTTTTTTTGTTATAATCTCTTAAGAGATTATAATATAGCATAGCCATCATTGGAGGCCACGTGGTCTAAAAACAAGCTCAGATATCAGGATGATAGCTATAATTGCCATTTTTCTTGTACAACAGAATATATCATACTTCTATGAGTTGTTCACAATGTTTTATTGTAAAATATAGATCTCACACGCAGAGTTATTATCCGTTTAACGTTTTGTATACTATATTTCCAACGAATGAAAATTATGGGTACTCGCATTAGTACTTTGACAGCTGACTAGTGCGTCCCCCACGTTGCTGGAACTCTCAAAACTTTATCGTACCTTTCACCTCAATCGTACATACACTGCTGGAAAAACAACCAGTCTTGTAGCGACAGCGCGTGAATTATTTAAGTTTCATCTTCCTAACTGCCAATTACGACGGCGTGAAATAACAAAACCGTTGAAGGGGGATGTAAAGTAGCCCTTAACTGTAATATGATCTACCTCGCGCTTACCGAAGTCGGTACATGTCAGTCTGTTTGGGGAAGTATTGTTTTAGAGCAGCTGTTTTAAGAAAGGTTATCACAAAGTTCCATATAGGCATGTAGGAATGGATTGTATTATGACTTGCTTCTTTGTATTTCAACGATTTCTTCAACTTGCATATACTAATGCCTCATTTGATTTAAATTATTTTCTTTTTAGAGGCTACTGCTGCACCACCAGGTAAGAATAAAAGAACATGGATACATGGAACATCAATACAGGAATACATTCTTGATAACGTGTATTTTCCCCACCTTACTTAAAAAAAAAGTATATGTGTTAAATGTCAATGTCCAAGACATTATTTTTGAAAAAAAAAAGCTAACAATGGACGTTTTCAATATTTATTAGTATTTACCGAGCAGATGAAAGCCTTTAACCCTCAAGCGACTAAGCTATTTTAAATACTGAAATGACCAAGTGTGGTCATCTATGTATAGATGGACTTGGTTTTAACCAAATTTATAGAATCGTCGCTACAGTACAAACGTTGCAATATAGTAACTTGAATTTCCCACATTAAACAATGGTACCGCTGTTTCAGTGAACCCCAACGTTTCCGTGAATTGTGACTCGACAAAGGGTATGACTGTGACGGTGGACGTAAATGACATCCAATCTCGTCTTGGTCCAATGACCTTAACCTTGGATGACATCAAGTGTGTTCCTGACCAATACCTTGGCGGCAACGCAATATTCCATGTGCCCCTTGCCACTCAAATGTGTGGAACCCGCCGACTGGTAATTGATATTTGTCGAAATTAGTAAAAACAAAATGAAAAATAAATAAATCACCATCCTTTCTATCTAAATTAACTTATACTTGTACGCATGGGTCTATTATCATGGGGTTAACGAAATTTTAGATGTTGAAGTATATAATCCGTAAGTAATCTTGGTTAGTAATATTGCCTCAATATCAGCCTCCGCTGACGATACCCCCAATGTTACCAGTAGGCCCTTAATACAAAATGTTTACACATTTTAAATAACAATAATGTTTCGTTTGTCTAGGAAACCAAAGATACATTCATCTACAGAAACGCCCTCGTCCTCCGGCCGTACAGTAACTCCCTCATCAACCGCCAGCTGCACTACAGGTACACATTGGAGTGTGTACTGTCGAGATACGGTGACGTAGGAGAGGAATTCGTCGCTAAAGTGAGATAATTTTGGTTGTTTTCACTTTATGTAACATCCGGGGAATAAATGAATGACTTTCTCTACCTGGTATTTGTACGCGTGTGTTGTTAGTATCAGTGGTGTTATCAGATCGACTTACAAAATCAAAGCAAGGTCAGTTGTGTCAGTCCCAATTTGCAATACAATAGTGAGTAATATCGATGCAGAGTAACATATCAACATTATGGCGCATTCGGTTCATTTCGGTTTTCGATAAATTCGTCCACACATGTACAGACTTATAAAATAATTGTCTTTGCTCTTAATGCAGGGCACAGTGTACGGCAACCGAGCGTATGTTGCTAACGGTAACTTCACCCTGAGGATGGACCTGTATCATTCCGATTACTTCACCTCCCCCGTGACCAGCTATCCCCACGTGCTCAGACTTAACCAGGACATGTATGTGGACGTGGCTTTACTAACGCCGGACATTAACCTTAAGGTGATCCTGCAGAACTGTGTGGCGACGCCGAAGGCTACGAAGGGCTATCCGCAATATCCCCTCATAAGCAACAAGTGAGTTCAGTGTTTTCAATCGCAGATTACAATCGCAGATTTTGTATTGATGTCGTTAGGCTTCTTACCGTTAGCTTGATGCAAGATAGAATTTTTTCATCCATAAAGAAGGATTTAAACAACAAATACATGTAGATATTCAGTACATAAATCAGTGCTACTGGTGGTATAGTGTAAGATGAACATATAAGGGAACTTATAAACACTCAAGTGTACTGTATACTGACTAACCGATGTATTGATCAAACGTTGAGTAGTATGGTTTGAACTTCAAGGTAAAGGACATATAAGTAGGTCCACACAACGTGATTATCCGACTAATCGATCAAATGTTTACAATCAGCACAATAAAAAAAAAAAAAAAAAACTTGATCGTATATTTCCAGATGCCCAGACGACCCTACGGTACGCTTCTATCCATCTAACGACACGCATGCGCAGTTCACCGTCAAGGCCTTCGAGTTCTTCAACGATCCAGAGGTGTACATCCACTGTGACGTTATCGTGTGTAACGCCACTGACCGGGACAGTAGGTGTCTGCGGCCCAGTGAAGGGTATGTTTGTCCACAAAATGGCGGCAGGGGGAAGAGAGCGGTACCTGGTGACGTAGAGGTGTACAGCCTGGTGCAGGGACCCGTGTTCGTCCAAAAAGAGAACCCCGTAGCAGGCAAGTAACATATATATTGAATTTAAAGGGAAGGTACATTTCTTATTGTTTCAATTGAACGTCCCGAACGCGTTTTTGGAATTGATTTATCTCCACACCTCTCTGCCACCCTGAAAACTAAGTTTGATGACCGTAACAAAGCAGACCGATGAAGCCATTTTCCACACCTTTTGGTGTCGTTTTGTAATCCTCTAGCAATTACAGGCAGATGTTGTATCCTTTTTCTCTGTAAATCAAATTCTGCAACTGCCAATGACTAGCGTATCGAATGTGTTTAAATATCCCGCCTTTGTTTTCTCAGAGTTTGCCGTAAAAGACGAGAGGAAGAATAAGGAAGACGGCGAGGAAGGTGCCCAGGCACCGGCTGCCACTACACTTGGAGCTGGTGTCATGGCTGTAAGCGCATGCGTTGTTGTCATAGCAGCAGTGATCGTAACGCGCAAGCGCAGATCATCCAATACTGAATACATTCCAGTCAGAACCGATGAAATTTGAATTCCATTGCATTAGTTGTGCTACGGTGTCACCGGCTTTGTAGACGTAAATATATTATTATTATTTTTTTTTTGAAAGGGTTTATATGCGATAAAATGAAATACATTTGAAATTCCGTAGCTTTATGGACCAGAAATGAGCTTTTTAATTGAAAGAAAACACATTGATTTGAACACCCAACCTTAATTGTAATTGGTTTATGATTTTGCCAAGTATATGACATTGCACAAAACAGATATACCAGTCGGTCCTAATATCAACATTTGATGGTTGTAATTTCTCTACACAAAATGACTTGCATTCACGTTACAAAAAGAATTAAAGTCTAAAATGTATTTTTGCCAATGGCTTCAGGAGTAGAAGAGATGGCGTGTGTAGTTGTTTGGTCGCGAAAACATGGATTATTGTAGCATTCACTCTAATGCGTTAAACGTTTCAATCTATGTATCCAAGATCTCGGATAGTACTTTTTTCACTTTTTTTTTTTTTTTGCTTTATTATTATTATTATTATTATTATCTGTCAAGTAATCAATTATGATAGATTATGCTTCCAGCTTAAGCTGTCTTACATAATATGTATACAGTGTCCAATAAAACTTTGCACAGATTGCTTCAATGTCCATTACTTTAATCAACTTGTGCATTTTATATAAAATATATTCCCTTGCAGTTTCACTGAACGGATCGTGTAGTTTGTAGAGTTACATCGACAGAGAAGACAATGTTTTATCTCTAAACACAGACTAGTTTTAAGGTAAAAATTAAAAAAAAATAAAATTCACACACACAAAAAATAATAATAAATAAAGAGTGTCCTTTCATAAAACATTTATTCAATCTTTACAGAATTACCCCCATCATAAAGCCTAAGTTAAAGTATGCAATCAAAGCATATATGTTAAAATCGACGTTGAGAGAAATCGATAACCAACAATATAATTACATGTGCATCTCATAATTAATTCATTAATATATATATATATATATATATATATATATATATATATATATATATATATATACTGACAGTCAATGAAAACGCATCAGAAAACTTTCTTTCCTTTTTTTTACCGAGAATCGATTCCAACCATATAAACGAGTGCAAATTCACGTGCTTGGTCATAAGAGAGTCACCTTGTTTGACTGTTGACTGAATAGTGGGTCATATTTCACACGAAAGCTTTTATTTTCTTTTTGTTTTAAATGAATTAAAAAAAATTATTTGATAAATAAATGGTGCGTTTTCATTGACTGTCAGTGTGTGTGTGTGTGTGTGTGTGTGTGTGTGTATGTATCCGTGATATCGCTATTTTAGGCACCTGTTTATACATGTATATCATCCTTCTTGGCAAAGGGACCAATATTTACTCTAAATGCCATTTTTAATAAAGTATAACACTAAATACTTGCACCAATATACCTGTAGTTGACCTCGTTTTAAAACTGGAATCATATTCAAAAGCAACAAATGACACAATCCAGCTGATGCGCATACATCTGACTTCATCACGCCTGGCTGCTAATTTGATTTTCTCTCTGTTTTACTGATCATGAATTGTACGTCATCTTGATATGCATTAACGACGATTTCACAACATTTGGTATCGCAACACTCGTTTTTAACTTCATTTCGTTTTTTCAAATGATATATTCATTTTCCAAGTGAACTGGGAACAAGAAAATACCCCAAAATTGTCCAGTTTCTTTAGCAGCAGGATTATTATTTAAAAGTAAATATTCCTAAGGATGATGCACATTCTTAGAAGCAGGTTTTATCCCTACCTCCATAGTTTAAAACAACCCTCACAGTACATAAACGAGGCAAGGAATCTGAATAAATTGCACTTTGTGCATGTACATAGTAACTTTCCCATCTGACAGTTGCTAAAACAAATTAGACCCAGGAACACGCTGCCCTTGAAAAGTATATATATTGAGCAAAGGATAAAATTTTATTATGGCAAAAAACTACTTGTAGCATATTAATATCGAACCCCGTTATATTACTGTATTTGACAGCAAGGCACGCAGCGTGACAAGTCATTAAATACCCATTGCACATGTATTCAATAAACGTTAAACAAATGGTCAATTTGGTTTTCAAGTTAATTTAAAAGATAATGGGAAACCATGACCAGAAATACACTGCAACACCAGTGAAAGACGCCTAGCTTGTTGTAAATAACACGAGCGCCTACGATAATCTTGGACAAGCACCTTATTAGCACACACTACTCTCTCTTTATTTATATATTTATATTTTATCAGACATTTGTCGATACTCACAGTCCCTTACCAGTAATGTTGTGGTGATAAAACAAAACAAAACAAAAGGGAATGTATATAAAGCAAGCCATCCCATGACGTCACACATCTAGTCCAACTCCTGGAGATCACCATTTACTATACAGAGGCGGGGCCAGAAGTAAAACCGTTTGGTGAAGGACATGGTTTCCATGCTGGACACCTGCTGGTATTGACCTTGACCTTGGGTCTTCATACTGGCAACCCAGCTGTTCACCTGAAATACCACAAAGAGGTGAAATGTGATATAAAATACCAGACACACGTTACCATAACAATACCAGTAATGCAGTGATGAGTTTAATATAAAATCACTCTAACATTGGACCAAAAGGTGGAAAAGAACAATCTGAACTGCAATGGTACAATAATTTCTTGAAATAATAGTAAAACTCCATAATGAAAGCTTCAAAGTATAACGACATTCAATAGTAGAATCAGTTACTACTAACCACTATCCAATATTCAGTTGCTCTCGCTTTATCAAATGATTGAAGAAATTACTATTGGAATGAAACCATAACAGAGTGAATGAAGCCCTGAAACGTGCAGTGAATTCCCAATAATATCGAACAAGCCAGTAAGTCCAACATTTCTGCCTCACCTACCGAGGTGAGAAGCTCCAGGAAGTGTTTACTCCTCGCCTCCTCACTGAACACTCTGACAATGGCGTTGATGAACCAGGACCCGTTCTCCTTATTTCTCCAGGACACGTAGTCTGAAATGAAGGGATGTATAATTGACGAACACGATTGCAATATAATTGAATGCAGTCAAAGGATATATTATATTGTGCATTGATTCAAAATAAAATAAAAATGCAAAATAAATAAATAAATAAATATCTGTCAAGATGGGGAAAACTAACAAAACATTAAACAGCAACATAAGCGTCTTAATTCCTTTTTTTAAATTACGTAAAACATTGTTGAATAAAGTAACAGACTATATGTGTATGAAATCCCCGCCTGGTTAAGTGTGTTTTGTTTTGTTTTCTATATGTTAGTTTTTTGCCCACCTGGAGTGGTTGCCGTGGCAACGGCGATGTCACACATGTTAGCACCAAATTTGGACTCGCTTTCATTGCAACGCGCCCGCACAGAATCAGACTGGCCGCCATCTTGTCTCATTGTTAGAGGGACGGAACCTCCCGCGACTCTACTGTCTTTCTTTGCTGGATGAAATACAGTTTTTGGTGTCAAATGTAAAGTCATCCATTTATCACCGAAATGTATTATTTTAAGCAAATTAGTCTCTCGTATGCACTGTCTCTCTTATCTAATATTTATGTTGCTTGTTGCATGACAACAAACCTGTATTCTTAACGTCAGTCAACAACCAATTTCGTTCCAAGAAAAATGTTTTACAAATAATTATAACTACTCTGCAAATGCACACACCATAACTATTCAATAGGTTTTTAACTTACTTCCTTGGCAAGCCTGAATAAAAAACATTTTTGGTTTTCCCTTCAGGGCGGGGCAGCTGTCGGTGGTAAAGTGCTTGTATATCATACTGTAGGGCAAGCTGTAGCCATCTGTCCCATACACTGCATTACTCATACCGTGACTCAGAATGAACACGATGAAGGAATCACTAGTCCAGTGGCTAGGTTGTTTGCTTTCAGTCTCCATCACATCAAATATCCCCTAAAATCATAACATTCAAAATGTACAGATTATAAATTATGATACACTAACTGAAAGGGTTTTAATGATACGATATACACTGTATAACTGTTTTACTAATTCATATATATGAACACAAATAAACGAACAAATAAACCCGCACGCACATACATGCATTCTCGCATATACATGCACATGCTCAAATACGCGCATGAACAAACACAGACGCGCATACACACACAAACACACTGACAATAAAACGCACACACACACACGCGCGCGCGTGCGTGCGCACCTGCTCACCTGTGCTGTCAGATCATTATGCACAATGACAGTATAACTCATCTGTTCCATCAGCTCTACCAGCGCCTTGCAGTCCATCTCAGACCCGTCTCTCTTCTCATGGTGCTGGAAATTGATGTTGTTGACGATGACAGCGCGTCCACGCGGCATGCCACAGTTTTGGTAGACCTGAAAGTAGAAGGCAAAATATGACTCTTTCTAACAGCGGTATTTACCTATTCGCACCCTTAACAACAATCTCATTTACCTGGAAAACAGTTAAATGCCGAACCATTTAAAGCAATAGGACATGTACGTAGCGACATGTAGCGACAGAGACTAAATGCAAAGAGACGGAGGGAAGTACAAAAACCAGAGAGAGACAGAAAGAGAGAGAGAGGTTTATACACACATCGTCCTTGTAAGCTTCCTCCATGAACAGAGAAGGATCGGCAGCTCTCAGACATAGTGACGTCACTGGCAGTTGAGGCACGGCTAAAATCAACATATAAAGTCGAGTTAATATCCTTGAATTGTTCTATTGTTTGACATTACTTTTACAGGTCTCTCGTTTGGCATTTGAACGATGTGCACACTAAAATTCATGGATACGTTAACAGTACGATTTATATTATTTGTTCATGAAACAAATACTCTTTAGATGAGAACATGATTGGATGTTCGATTAAACATACCTCTAGCCTGGAATTGGTCAATGCGGTCATAGGTCACGATATATTCCGGGTAACACTGTTCCGCCGTGAACAGGAGAAATTCCCGGAAT